ACATTCCGTTTCTTCCTGATTTTCAATGCATTTTTACAACAAACTCATTAGCAATGCATTCTACATATAACAGACCTATTTTGTCATTCATTTCTGGCCACTGACAATCGCTTTCTTCCTCATTTCAATGCATTTCTCCCAGAAAATAATTAGAAGTGCATTTACATTTGCTGCAACGGCTGGGTTCAATTATAAATAATCATTTCCTTCTTCATCTGATTACTGTTGGGGAAAATAGTTTCAGTCTGATAATCAGAAATATGTCTTTCTTTGGGTTGACAAACTTGCTTCTACTTCAACATTCCCATAACCAAAAAGATCCTTTTTCCCCTTTGGTGATGCTATAATGGGGTAACTGATTAATGCATCTTGCAACCTAGCCATACCATCATGGCAGAGACTTGTTGTCAAGATCTAAAACTGATGCATCAAAATTGAAAAGATTTTGTTCAGCAATGGTGAACAGAAATAGATGTTGTTAAAATACAAGACCTTATTGATGCTGTTAGAATATAAGACTTTATTGGTGCTGTCAAAATACAAAACCTTCTTATTCACAAGCCACATAGCAAAAATGAATTTTTAGTAAGTTTGTCTTTATGATGTTTTTGTCTTGATTTTAGTGCTTAGGACTGTTGGAATTCCAACAAGGCCAGTTACCAATTTTGAGTTTCCAAAGGGTTGATGCCGCAGTAGTTCGAAAAATTTGTATCTGGTGATTTGGATCTTCAAGATAAACCAGATGACATTTGCAAGTCATCATTCAACAATGGAGGGCAGTGATAAAGGTTCACCCAGAAAGAAAACATTTGGGTATTGGAAGCAAATCTGGAGGTACCCTGTACAAAAGTCAATAGGCATTTGGGACAAATCAGGTAAAGAAAATAAAAAAGTGGTTACCTCGTGATCTGATAGATGATCAGTTGCTTGCATAGTTTGACATTTGCAGCAGTTATCTAGTCCTTGAGCTTACTGTTAATGAAAAATAGTTTCAGTTTGATAATCAGGAATATGTCTTTCTTTGGGTTGACAAACTTGCTTCTTCTACAACCTTCCCATAACCAAAAAGATCCTTTTTCCCCTTTGGTGATGCTATAATGGGGTAATTAATTAATGCATCTTGCAACCTAGCCAGACCATCATGTCAGAGACTTGTTTTCATGATCTAAAACTGATGCATCAAAAATGAAAACATTTTATTTAGTAGTTCTTGATTTTTGTTTTTACTGTTAGTTCACTCAATACTAGACACAAGAGCTGCTTAAGGTAGAGTGTTACTAAGAGAGGTTGCTGTAAGGGAGAGTGAAGTAAGAGATTATTATGAGGTCGAGAAGGATAGATATCAGTAGATCCTGGACTTAAAGACATCAAGATTTTTGTTGTCAAGGAAGTATTCTTTTGGGAGTTTTTTTTTTACATAAAATAACAGTTCCGGGGAAGAAGTTGTCTGATTGGAACTTGTTTTTTATCAAAGAAACATGAAGGGAATGAGAATGGTTAGCCAGAATAAACATGGGGTACTGTAGGGGGTACTAGCTGTGAAGGTCTAAACTGGTGTAAGTAAGGAACTCGTTCGAATATCTGCCATAGTAATTACGGTAGAGTAGTGAGAGGTTAGCAACGTTTCATCTGTGGGGTAAGAGTTGCAGAGTAAAGAATAATTCATCACCCACAAGGTTAGTCACTGAGGATTGGGCCGCACCAGCCAGGATATGGCAGCAATTTACTGAAAAGTTGTATTTTTATTCTGAATAATTTATGAATTGTGATCTTGGGGCCAAAATGGCTTCAGAATTTTTACTGTGATCCTGTTCTTTACACCAGATAGTAAATGATTTTGTTATTCATTTAAAATTGGATGCCTTTTTTTTTGTTTGTTTTTTTTGTGTTTTGTTTTTGTTTTTGTTTTTTTGAAATTGTAATTTTTTCTGATGTAGTTTCATCTACATTGGCCGACTGTGACCTTCGTTTCTTTAGGGGATAAAATAAGTCTCAAACTGGGAACAATTGAAGAGGATCTGAAGTGGGGATTCGATTTACGATGTACGTATAATGTCAAACTTGACCCTTACTTTGTGTCCGTCTTTACGACAGCGGCTGTTCAATTTACAGTGTAAATATAATGTAAAACTGAGCCCTGATTTTGCTTACGCATTTATTCAAATAGGTGAATACAGTATGGAAGCTCAAAATGAAAAAAAAAATGATTAGTTACGTTTTCATTTTCGTAAAAAAAAAAATAATTCAGGGTTTGAGGTTCACGTTTTTCTTCTTTGTAACACTAATAGAAAGGGTTCTATACTGATGCTTTTACAAGATCTCTTAATTCACAGGTCACCTGGCAAAATCTAATGCACTTAAGTATTGAGGTCCTGTCTCATATTCCTTATAAATGAGACCTGCCACATCCTCCTTATTCACAGGACCTGCCCCCCTACCAATTATCATATTTTCTGGGCTTTAGATGCATATACGTATCAGTCAGCGTGCACCAACATGGACCACGTTAAAAATACATTCTGATAGATTTTTTGGTTTCCATGATGCAATTTTTTTATCCTGATAGAATAAATTAGCTGTTTCATCGTTGGCAACATTGTTTTGATTTTAATGATGCTTACATTAGGTAAAAAAAAGTTCTAAGTCGGGTCAGGAGGCACTGTGGAGTAATGGATAGCAGCTCGGATTAGGAAAGGTATGAATCTTCTTCTTTTCCCCCCAGCAGGACAATCCGGGTTCTATAGCCTTGGATGGAAACTGGTATACCGCAGAAAGAAATGTCAACCTACTGCGGGGAAAAATCTGCCTCATCAGTGATGTATCGAAAGATACATGATTGACTAAGCGTGTATCACGCATGGCACATATCTGACTGACTGAAAATAAGAAGAATATAAAAATCAGCAGCAGATATGACATTATCATCACTGCAACACCGAATGATAGTCGAACCCATTACATTCACTTATGTGTTAATACCCTTGGGATAAGTATGGACCCTCTTCTTCACCCAGCTGTGGGTAAATAGCAGCACAGACCGGGTTCTATAGCCTTGGACGGCAACTGGTCTACCGTAGAAAGAAAATCTGCATCGTCAGTCATGTAACGAAAGATACATGATCGTTTAAGCGTGTATCAAGCATGGCACATAACTGTCTGACTGACTTTCCAGTCGAATCTATTACATTCACTTACGTGCTAATACCCCTGGCAAAGGTATGAATCCTCTTCTTCTCCCTCCAGCTTTGGGTAAATAGCAAGATAGGCCGGGTTCTATAGCCTTGGATGGCAAATGGTCTACCGCAGAAAGTAATGGCACCCTACTGCAGGAAAAAATCTGCCTCGTCAGTCATGTATCGAAAGATAGATGATCGCCTAAGTGTGTACCACGCATGGCACATAACTGACCGAAGTCGAGACATTTTAAATTCTTCGGTTAAAAACAACCATTCATTTTGTTTGAACCTGATATATAACTTGTGCAACAAAATGGTTCCAAGGGAACCTGAAAATCTACCAGGATTTATTGGTAGGCATAAACTTACCAACAAATTCTATACAGATAACAATTGCTAATTCAAAGTAGAAACATGAAAGAATTATTAGACAAAGTAGCTGACGAAAGGAAGGAAAAAAAACTAAGCATTAACTGTAAGAAGCTGAAATCTATGGTCATGAGCAAAAGGTAGATCGCAAGATGTAAGGAACACATTGGGGATATTAAAACCAGACAAGTGTAGAAATTCAACTGATTCGGCAAGAGGATTTCGCAGAGTGTTACGAGACAGGAGATAACAAAGAAAAGATAAAGTGGATAAAGACGTTGGCTAGATCCAGTGACTAGACCCAAAGAGTTATGAGTTCAATACCAGGCCGCAGCAGTAGTGAACAAAAAAAACTTGCAGAGTTAAGTTAAAGGGAAATAACTGAGACATTTGAAAGAGGCATGACACGTGGAACTAGAACAGTCTACTCCGGAGGACGAAATAAAGAGTTCGATTCGAAATTCCAACCACCTGAAGAAGGCCGGAACATACAACGGCCGAAACGTTGTGAATATGGCAATGAAGATGAGGATAACAGTCCGAATAATGTAAGTAATCATAATACCTTATCTCAGAGATATAGACCTATTTCGTAGGTTTCCTTATATGCGGTATTGTGGTATATTCAGGAGTGAATGATAACGGACGGGTTTTTTTTTTTTTTTTGTGGTGGTTGTGTAAATTGTAACGAATAAATTAGCTAGGTATAAGATAGTGTCAACCAGCTTCGACCCATTCCCCCTTTTTGGCCTTGTGTCAGAATTGCTGTATGTTAACGCACTAAATCTTGAGTACTGAACTGCTACGAGATATCTGTTCTCCTTTACGGCAGCGAATGTCGGACGGTCTCCTCAAAGATGAAGAAGAGACTCGAGGCAACGGGGATATTGTTCTACAGAAGGATGCTAAGGATGCCATAGACCGAACATATGAGCAACGATGAGGTTTTGGAGAGGGCGTAAACAAAGATTAAACTTATACTTAACATCAGGAACAGGCAGCTGAAAATCCTGGGATACGTAATGAGAAAAGAAGGCTTGAAAAATCTGATACTCACAGGGCGGAAAGAGGGACAAGGGGAAGCAATGCGTGACATACTTAGCGGGCTTAAGCAAGTGGATGGCAGAACAGGGTCTGGGAGAAGTAGTAAAAAGACAAAACTTATTGAGAACTACAAGAGATAGGAAAAAGTGGGGAGCCATGATCGACTACGTCCTGAAGGGATACGGCACATAAAAAGACTACATGGAAAACGGAAAATGTGACGTAAAAATTCTAAGGCACATGGGAATAATGAAAGATGTTTTTTAGAAACTAAGCCGTGTATTTCCAAGAAACCAACTCCCAAACAAATCGACCGTGGTAAAATTCAAACCCAAATATCACGGTCGGAATCCGAATTGGCCACGTTATGTAATTAAATTTGATTAAAGAACCTGCCAGGATTGTAAGCAGATGAAAACTATGCTCGTGAGTAGAAGGGAGTTAACAAGATGTGGGTGGGCGGCATATTGCGAATGTTAAGATTTATTCTAATGCTGCTTAAAAAGAAAACAGTTTTTTTAGAGTCGAGTTATGACTTTTTTTTTAAAGTGATTAAAAACGTCCTTTTATTTTTCTCAAACCTGAAAATTATTCAATTTTTTCTCCATATTATTGGTGTTTATCCAACAATCTGAGACATTTTCTAAAGTGCCTTGTGCTGTTTACTTCCCGGGTCGAAGAGTGTATCAACCAAATGTCTTATGATTAAAAAAAAAGCAATAATAAAAATAGTGATTAACTTTCCTCTATGGTATTTAGACTTTAGAAATTTAAGCGTAATAGCGATTGGTGGCAAGGGCTCATCATTTTACCGTTGAAATTAAGTTCTGCTAACAGTTTCTTCTGTCGCACTTCTCGTTTGAGGAAATCCTTCCGGCTTCTTGCTTTCCAGTCAAGTTTGATCTTCAAAAATTTAAATGCACTGTCAATCGTTATCTTCTGACTTCTTAATTCTCGTTCTTTTAATGTTCTCTCTCCTTAATAATTTTTTTTGTTTGTTTGTTCTTATTCACTCACACTTAGTAATTCCTTGCATCTTAGTGGCTTTATTGCCTTGCTTGGGGGGTGAAATTATTAAAAAAAAAGATCGTAAAATATTACTAGTAGTAAAACCGATTGTATTTTTCCAATATTTAATTCTTTTTAAAACAGTTTTTGTGCTTTTTTGTCATTTTTCTGTTTTTTTTTTTTTACAATAACCACTGAACATTAAAAAATGCCATTTTTTATTTGATATTTACTTACATGTTTCCAAATTTAAAAACAAAAAAAACCATAGCACTCCCATTTTATTTTATTTTCTTTTTTACGAACACATTGTTGGAGATACTCTTTACGAAAATTTTGAGGTAGAAAATATATTATAAAGAAAACAAGTATGTTTTTTAATACATTCTCGTTAAAAATGCTGATAATTCCATGTAAAAATGCGCCCTCCAATTTTATCACTTTTGTACTTCCTTAGACTCTTCTTGTTAATCGTTCACAACACGCACACTTCAAAGTTCTAGTTTGTTTCCTATTACAAGGCCGACACATACATAATCGTGTAAGAAAATGTTGTATAGAGAAAGAGAGGGAGAGAAGGTAAATCGAGAGACGGAGCGGTTAAAGGGAGAGTGAGAGATAGAGGAAAAGCCCGTCAACTGAAAATTCCCCACTTCGCCTCCTTCTGTCACATTATCTGACAGGCAATCATTTCGTGTCACGTGATTAGTCTGGGAAGCCTTCTCCTTCTTCTCCTCTCTTCCTTTGTTTATTTCTCTCTTTGCCGTGGCGCTCCTCTACCTTCTACTCCTCCTCCACCATCACCACCACGTTCTTTTCTTTACCAGTCCACCACCCATTTTTAATTCTCTCCGCTCCTAACACCCAAAACCGCGCCGCACGCACGCGTGCGCGCACCTTGCTATTCCTCTTTGCCCGTCTCTCCTCCCCTTCATTTTCCTCCCACTTAATAATCATTTCTCCTCCCCCTCTTGCTCATTTGCATGTTGTTGGAAAATGGTCGAGCTCTCAGGGTGAAGGAGTCTTTTTTTCAGGCTAAAAACGTTATCACCTTCCTGACCTACAGACTATTTTTTTTTTTTTGCAAAAAAAAAAAAAAAGGTAAACTTCACGATGGACACTTTTTAAAAATCTCTATATGGCATTTTGCGGGTGGGAAACCCAAAACACTACCAACAACAACAACAACAACAACAACAAACGATATCTTTGAGCTCTGTGGGTGAGAGTAAAAAGAAAGAAACAAAAATTATTTTTCTTTATTTTACTTATTTATTTAAATTATTTTTGGTGTTAGCATAAAAATGTGTCGATTATTTGTGCTATAGTAGTGTATATTTGTGTATTTATGCGTGCGTCTCTCTCTCTCTCGCTTTCTTCTCCCCCTCACTTTTATAACCTCTCCTTTCGACCTCCTTCTCTAAATATCTTTTCCCCTCCCCTCTCTCTGTTTTTTATTGTCTATCTTTCTCGCACTCCTAAAATCTATTTCATTTTTTTAAGTTTGTTTCCTCGATTGGCAATTTCAGAATATTTCCTTTTACAATCTCTTTTAGGTCAATTTCAAGTTGATTCTTTTTGTTTGTTTTATTTATTTATTTTATATGCTTGATCAGGTTCGTTATGGTAACATTGTGTATATGAGGTTGCGCCTGCCTGTCTGTGTTATTAAAAAAATTATTGGGCTGTATAAATTAATATATTTATGGCACTTAACTTTTATAACCTTTGATTGTATAGGTGTTGATCTGTGATATCCACACTTATTTAGCTTTGCTACTCAAACTTCAACCCAAGAATTGCTGTTAAATCCATTAGTACACGCACGTTGTTCAAAATCAAAAAGACCCATAACCACTGATATGTCCTTTCCTTTCTTACCTTATGATACAACCTGGTTTTAGTATAAACCCGTCAAGAAGTACTGAATATACCACATATGTGACTTTAAACACAGGTGGTGTCTGTGTCGCCTGTGTGTTACAAAAATATCGTCTGTTGTTAAGATCTTTTTAGAATTGAATACAAGACGTTAAAGTATATATAGGCGACTTGTTTGTTGTGCTCTATTGCAACATTCTATTTAAGTGGACAAAATAAACGCCAACTTAACCCTTTCTTTGACTCGATTCCATATTATATATATGTTTTATTTTTCGCCTGTGGTAAAATTAATATTCGAATCGATGTCAATGTGTTAATTAAACCCACTTTATTAATGTAGGTCATAGCATTTCTGCTTACACACACACACACACACACACACACACAGAGGCGAGTGCGCGCACGCGCATCTGTATGAAGAGAGGCACACACAGGCAAACCCACTGAAAACTGTTAAACTCTCGCACACATAAAAAAAAACTTTTAGTCAAACAACATATTTTTACATTATTTTGAGTTTGAAATAATAAACTAAACAGATACTTGTAAAATCATCTAATCCTTAATTTTAGACTCAAGAATTTTTTGATGCTAATAACTGTTGTAATGTTTTCCTGTAATATTTTTTTATGGTTGCACTTCCGTCTCTAGCAGACGATATGGAAACCACATAAAACATTCGAATTTAAAGGATGTCTTTGTAAATGTAATATTACCCATTACCGTTATATATATATATATATATATATATATATATATATATATATATATATATATATATATATATATACACATACACACACATATTTAAAATAAAATGAAATTTTAAAAAAGCGTTGATTAGATTTTTTTCAATATGAGATAAGAAAAAATTATCATCGTATAATAAAATAAGTTCATTAAAAAAAAAAAAAATTAACCTTTTTTTAAAAAAACAAAATACGAAAATGAAAATCTATCAAGGGAGCCGATGGGTAAAAAAAGGGTATATAAATTTTAAATTATACGACCCTAGGGCTCCACGGGTAGGGGTTGGAATTATACAGGGATTTATTAAATTAGAAATATGATTTATTTTTCCCTATGGGCGTATTCGAAATATGGAATATGGTAAAAAAAAAGAAGAAAAATATGGTGCGAAGGGTTGTACTGCATAGTGCATCATCATCATCATTAAATTTATTTCTCTAAGCAATTCTTGACGATTGCGTGTATAAAATTTAGTTTTCTTATATATATATATATATAATATATATATATATATATATATATATATATATACTATAGTATACGCGTGTTTGTATATAGATGTGTGCGTGCATGTGCGCGGTTTTTGGAGGGCGGGTTGGGGTAGTACACGTATTTTCAATGCCAATGTTTTAGCGTGTAATTTTCTGATGTCGTCTTTATTTTGGTTGGCTCTATTTTCTGAGTGTGGGAAAAACACGAACAGTCTCCTTGTCTGTAACAATAAATAATAAAAGTAAAACCGAGCCAGAAATGAAAGCATTCTGTAGCGATATGAAATGAGAGACAGCTTACTGCTGCTGCTGGGAATTCCATCTTAAAAAAAAATCCTCACATTTCAGTTTATCATAAACTTAAAATAGCAACATTTAATATATATAATATATATATATATATATATATATATATATATATATATATATATATATATATGTGTGTGTGTGTGTGTATGTATACACAATTTTTGAGTCAGGTTAGACAAGATTTGGGTAAAAAACTTAGATTTTCTTAATGTAGGTTAAAGGTTTTATGGTAAAAAAAATAAAAATTCTACCCTTTATGGAATAAAGAATAACTTAATTTGTCATTAATCAGGTTTTATTTTTATTTTTAAATTCCTAGTTTTGGTTCCCCCCGTTTTAAAAAGCAACTTTTATCTGGTAACCTTAAATTGCGACCTTCAAAATTAGAGAAAAAAAATGATTTTTAAATTTTTAAGAATGAATTGCTTTTTTTTTTCTTTTTTTTTTTAAATAAAATTTCTTAGGCTGATTAAAAGAATCTAGTTAGCAAATGTTTTTTTTTTTTTGTTGTTGTTTTGTTTTAGTTTGAGATTGAAAAAAGGAAAACATTTTTGTGTCCATTGCAACACAAACGCTAAGTGCGCGTCGTTCGTTGTCATTAGCGATTTTTACAAATATGACTAATTTTTGTTTTTTACAAACTTTGAAACCACACTTTTTAGGGAGGTGCTGAAAAAAATTTTAGCTAACACATACACACACACGCGCGTTTTTAGAATGAAAAAGAAGAAAAATTTGTAAAGAACAAAACGATAACCATGCCATTAAGAATTATAAAAATAGATAAAAAAATTTTAAAAAATTAAAAAAATATCACCAACAATTCAAAATTGCAAAAGATTTTCCTAACTAGATTGTAATTTTGGAGAGTTAGTGATATTTTTATTTTATCTATTTTTAGTATTTATTTTTTATATATGTCATGGTAATTATTATTATATTTTATTTCGAAAATAGTTGCAGGAATAAAAAATTTTTTAAAAAAATAAAAAAAATACACGCCCCTAATGACCATCTGTAAAGAAAATAATTTTTGTATTTTTAGATGTGAAATAAAATAAATAAATAAAATCTGTATAGTATAGTGTACTAACAGAAACTAAAAAAATGTATTATGAGGCGTGGTAAAAAACAAAACAAAAACCTCTAGTATTTCCCTCATAGCCTTCATTATCAGTGCATTTTTCAAGGTGGGAGAAGGGGGTCTGTTTTTTTAGGTTTTTTTTTTTTTTTTTCACAACTAGGTCTCTCTCCTGAGCAACTTGATTCTCCCCTGCTTTTTGCGACCCACCCTGATCAATGTTTTTCACAAGCATCACTAATGTGGCCGCTAGTAAGCAAGAAATCCGACTACTACAACTACTACTACTATTTATTATTACCAGCTACTCAAACCATTTGCTACTGTAGTGTTTTTAGTGTTCTTGCTTCGTTCGTCCCAACCCCCACCTTTGCGTCTTCTTGTCGCTCTTTTTCTCTCTTTGGTTTCCTTTCTTTTTCTTTCTCTCTCTCTCTCTCTCTCTCTCTCTCTCCCCTATTTCAACTTTGATTCCAGACAAAAGCCAATCTCTTTGTTGTATGTTACTTTCTTTCTCTCTTGGACGACTATCAGAAGAATCATTGTGTGCCGGTCGTTGGAGAGGGGACAATCATTATCGATCTCCTTGAGAAATCACTCGATAAATAAATAAATAAATAAATGATTATTTCTCGCTTTCATCTTAAAAGTTAGGTATTTTTTTTTGTTGTTGCTACTAGAAATAGGTTGTTTTTTTTTTTAGAATCGTTTAAGTTTTCTTACTTTCAGTAATTTGACTTGGATTTCGTTTTCAACTGCTAGAGAGCTAAAAAAAAACACAAATGGTTTTTGTTGTTAACGAATAATAAAAAAATAAAAATAATAAACGTTATTGCAGAAAATTATTCAGAAAAGTTATTGAAAAATCGATCAGAGTGTAAATTATCACTCCCATATTGCCAATAGAGAGTAACTTGTTGTCACTTGATCTCAAATACAACCATCGTGTTCTACGATTAGCAAGAAAGTGCCCCTAACATTTTAAAATAATGTTAATTGTTAATAATAATGAAAAAAAAAATATTTATAAATTGTTGTTTACTGCTATTTACGAACAAAAAACATTTTACAATCATAGAGAGAGAGAGACTTTTTTTGACGGCTTCACCTTGTCTTTTTTTCTTTGTTTAAACCTCTTTTTTCCTTTTTGTTTTTGTTTTTCTATGTTTCTAAACAAAAATACGGTTGATGGCTAGAGAAATTATTTCTTTTATACAATGTACGATCGTTCTAAAAAAATATTGTCTTTTTCTGGACAGTAGTGTAATTTTAATTTACTTTGCATTTTTAAATTTTGTTACCGATTGAAGTCAGTCGGGAAACCTGACCATAGAAAGACAATGGACATCAACTGACGAAGAAGTGATTGTAAAAATAGTGGACAAGGCAATTTATTATAAATATAATTGTTAATTTCTTTGTCTATAATGTTTTTTTCTGTTATCTCCCGTGCCCTGGCGACGATAGGTGGCAGTGTCTTTCTTTATTATGCCAATGTTTCCAAAATGTTATTGTTCATGGAGCCGGGAGGTGAAAAGGCCGACTATGTTAAAAAACAAAATAGAGTACACAGCAATAATAAATGAAAATAAATAATTTATATATTTTATATAAACATAAAAATCATAAAATATAAAAATTACCATAGCTAGCAACTCGAGTTTCTTCTTTGCTTTCTTATAGATAGTTAGTATGGGTATTTTTATTTTATATAATTATGAATGTTTCCTATCGTTGAACCTAGGTTGACAGTCCCTGAAAAGAAGGGGAAAACTTACGTTGCTAAGAAGGTATTTTTATTTTTTTTAAATGTTTATCTAAGCTCTCTAGACCAGGGGTTACCAACCAGTGTGGAATTCCCCCCACCCCCACCCATGAGAATTTCAGGGAGGAATCTTTTATTTATTTATTTTTTTTTTTATGTACAGAATTTTGTTTATTGAATTACATTACTAGAATAGCATTCTACTAAACTTTTGGTTTACTGAAGTAAGCTTCAGTTTATTTATTTAATAATTAGTTATAAATTAAGACAAATTATTGTACATGAATTCAAGTTTAAATATCGATCAACATTTTCTATAGTTATTAAATCTGTAAAACTCCTCAATAAAAAAAAAATAATCAATGTAATTGTTTATGTACTAATATGGCAAAAAATGAAAATTTTCAATAATATATGCATATTATTTGGAATGCATCTTTTGAGTCAGTCTTGAAATTGTGAAGAATGATATTCTGGCATATGGTAGAGACTAAAAGAGTACATTGAGCAAAAAAGGTTGCAAAAGATTTCTCTACACAGTACTGAACACTTTTACTGAACATTTTTTTAATATTAGTTAGCATTGACTAACTATAAGTGTGTTTATATATAAAGTCATATGTGAAAAAATTGTCTAATAATAGTAAGGACTTAACAATATATGCTAACATTTTTAATGGCATGGGTAATTGAGTGATTGATTTATTTTTTATTGGTTATCAATCCTTTTTGGTTTATTTAAAGTCAAAACATATTTTTGGGAATGTAAGAATATTTATATTTTTTTTTTTGCAAGTAAATAATGTATTAACAATCTTTGGTATATAGTATATCTACCATCCATTTTCTACCATGGTATGATATCTACCATCCATTTTCTACTATAATATGATATCTACCATCCATTTTCTACCATGATATGATATCCACCATCCATTTTCTACTATGGTATGATATCTACCATCCATTTTCTACCATGGTATGATATCTACCATCTATTTTCTACTATGGCATGATATTTATCAACTGTTGGAAGTATAAAATATGTTAGGGTTAGAAGTTAGGGTTAGGGTTAAAGTGAACTGGTTATGTACAAGTCAAGTACAGTTATAACATCATTAACAATTTTTATACAAAAAGTTCAAAAAATCATTAAATATTGATTTTAATGTTTGTAAAGTGATTTGATGTCATTTAAAAAAACAATAAGCTGGTCATCGTGTTTCTTGAGCATTTTCCAGCAATAATAAGTTACGGTAGGTCACAAATGCCTCGGTAGATATCATACCATAGTAGCAGCCAATTTTTTTCAAGATGGCAATAATTTTTTCAGAGACAAATTCTACTATTCAACCAATAGCTTGGGGGCGGGGGGAAGAAATGCATTTAAACTTTTCCAAAGGATATTTGTGTATAAGTGAATATAATGAACTCAACTAGAATTCAACCTCAGCTCTCTGATTTTTTCATTCTGAGCCATCATTATGCCACCTGCACACCACCCCATGAGTAAACGAGCATTAATATCAGAATATTCTAAGGCTTATGGCCACATCATGCTGAAGTTAAGCAACGTTGAGCCTTGTCAGTACCTAGTTAGGTAACCACTTGGTGCTGTAAGCTTGAATGTGTCGTTGGTGTAAATGATAACATCTTAGAAATGGAAATTAAAGAGCCGAGATTCACTACCTGTTGCGTTTGGTATATTAACTTACGCACAAATACTGTTGGGAAAAGTATAAATTCACTTTTTTCATTTTAGGACCTAAAACATTTTTCACATACCAAATACAGATTTACCATTCTTAGATTACTTCACCTCATATTCTAAGCACACATTTTAGAATTCAGAAGCAAGACGTGGTCACTTATTGGAAAACAAGTACAAGTATAGAATAGATATTTTTTTCCCTACAGGGATAAGTCAGTTGTTATTGAATTAAATATATGGGATGTCTTTAAAAAAATGTCTACATATTTTGAAGCTTTCTCAAGAAATAATTCAAGCAACTTAAACCAACTCTATCTAATTTAAATAATACATTTGAAGACAGAATTTATTATAAATGCATGCTCTTAAGATTTTGTCATAACAGGTTTTCAAATTGGTGTTTGTTATGATGCAGACATTGCTGACAATACAATGCAATGAAATCACAAGCAGCAATCAACATTTTGATAGGTTTCTTAGACTTCTGTGATAACTTTTCATCATCCTTTCTTGCTTCACAGGGTGTGGTTGATATCAGTGGTCTTCCAAAACAGTTCTTGGGCACATCGTATACAGTACCATCAGCTTCCAATTTATCGCTAATTCATGAGATTGTATGTCACTTGGGTGGATCTGAATGAAACTCTCTTTGATACACCCTTTGAAGTTCAACTTCATTTTCATACTTCCAGTAGCATTTCAGGATGAACAGTCTTTGTTCAAAACTAAACCTGGATGACATTAGTAATAATAATGTGTAAATCTGAAAAGAGAGCAAAATTTTGGTTTGTTTTGTTTTAGGGTATCAATATATATATATATATATATATATATATATATATATATATATATATATATAATGTTGAAATCAAGTAGTGTCTTTTATCCTCTTTTCATGTGATCAAAACAGAACTGTTCATTATTTATGAGATATTGGCAGGGTGTAACGCTAATACAAACTAACAAAGGGAGGGTCAAGTATATATATGTATATATATATATATACATATATATATGATGTTGGTTGGGACAGTCTACCCCGATTTTAGGAGGAAAAATAAAATCTGAATATCATGTCCACAAATACAACACAAATTTTTATACAATGCTAAGAAATGATCTTTGCAGAAAAGGAAGACCAAGCTAAATATTACAATAACATTTATACAGCCAGACACATATTTATACAGTCAGATACATGTATTTATACAGTCAGATACATGTATTTACATATTAAAAATCAATGTTCTTTGTTGTGACCATGAAAAGACCAATAGTTCGATTGTTCAAGATGATTTGTTACAAATGAGTCTGTCAAGTTTCAAAATGTTTTTGTTGCAAGTGAGGAAATCAAGTAGTATGGTACGCCAATATTTGTGTGTGAAGCGCATGCTAATGAAACGTGTGACTGCTGACAGATTGTGTGCGATTGCATTAATTTTAAAACACAGTCAACAAAGAGAGGGGATTCAAGATTTACTTTCGTCATGGCATTGTATGTGGAAAAATCATCACTGACACATTGTCATGGTAACATGTGTCTAAGCTGTTGATCAAGGCATGGCCTAGCCTGGTTCACTGTCTTTCACAGATCAGGTTATTGATTGTTTCTTTCACTAAGTGTCCTTCAATGTGTCATTGCAGATCTGGCTCCTAACTGTTGCTGGTGAGCCATTTTTTATCACTATTTGACAGTTGGTGCTCACAAATTCTAACTGAGTTTTGCACAGGAATGTACAAATTAACCCAAGCCCTGGCCTATTTCCAGTTTATTTAGAGTTCAACTGTACTGACATAGTAGAGAGCACATCATATGACTTGTCCTATCCAATCAGTTTCCAGAAACTAATTATTTAATTCGGAGCTATGTTTGTACGGAATTATAAAAAGGTTTTTCGTAAGTACTGAATTTAGTAAGATTTATTTATAGGCATCTCTTACTTTTTTGTGCTTTACTTACTGGCCATAAAATATAGGAGTTTATATCCTATATATATATATATATATATATATATATATATTGTTATCCACAGACAGACTGTTTCACTGTATCACAGCTCATCAGTGTGGCTAGATGTCTGGTTGCCTCTAGCTAGGATCGAAACCCAACTAAG